GCCCCGCCATGGAGGCGCCGGAGCCGCGGGCGGAGCCGCCGCGCGCCCGCTCGCACACGGTCACCACCACGAGCAGCTCCGCCGCGGGCAGCCTGGCGGGCGGCGCCGGCGCGCTCGCCTACGACCGGGAGTTCCTGCGCACGCTGCCCGGCCTCCTCATGCTCGCCGAGATCGTGAGTGGCGGGACGCGGCGGGACGCGGCTCTCACCGCGCCTCGGGGCGGCCGCCTGCGCCCCCCGGCTCCCGCCGGCCTGGGCACCCGGCGCCTTCCCCAGGGAGGGAGAGCGGGTCTGGACCGCTCGGGAGCCTCTGTGCGTTTCTTTGGGAACTTTATGGAGTGTTGCCGTTTCGCCCCGCGGTTGGTTTTAGCGCGCCGGGAGCCGCTCCCGCGGTGCTGGGAGCGGGAGCGGCCCGCGGTGTCCCGGTTTGCGGCTGGATGAGGAGCGGGTGCCGCGTCCCCCGGTGCGCTGCGGGTGGCAGGGTGCCCGTGGGGCGCCAGCGGGGACACCCCCGCCGGGACACCCCACCCGCCTCCCGCAGCGCATCCCGGCGGCGCTGCGATTGTCCCGTGGGAATGCCCCCCTTCCCGGCAATAGCCGCGCAGCGGCTCCAGTTAAAAACCCCGCGCAGGCTGGAGCGGCCGCTCCCCGCGCCGCTGGCAGCGCCGGTGGCTCCGCGCTGCCGGTTGGTACCCGGGGCCGAGCGGAGCGCGACGCGCCCGGCTCCCACGGCGGAGCAAAGAGGGGCGGCTGAGCAGGCCCCGGAGCGCCCGAGCGCCCGTCCTCCGCCACGCAGAGCGCCCCGGAGGCGCCAAGGGCTTAGGGGCGCTCTGTGGGGCGCTCCATGGGATGCTCTATGGGGCGTTCCATGGGATGCTCCATGGGGTGCTCCATGGGGCGCTCTGTGGGGCCTGGGGAGGAGGGCGCGTTGGGGTGCTGCGCGTAGCAAGTCCAGAGACCTTTGCTGGGTTGCTCGGCTGTCGGCATGTCCCACTTGTCAGGTGTAGGGGATGCTGCAGCATCAGTGGTGTGGGAGATAAATGAGTGATCCTTGTTTTTCAAAGGAAAAGCCTCTTTCCTTTTCATTCTTCCCCCCCCCACCATTACTTACTAAAACTAATGACAACTAAATTCTTAACCTTTCTCATTATCTGAACAGTAATCCCAGCTGCAGTGGTAGGGAGAGACCCAAGGCTTTTCCCAATCCCTCTTGGAATGTCATATATTCAACCTGCCCCTGGATCCTGCCCCAGCAGCGCCTACACGGAGCGACGTGGCCTCCAGGCATGGATGGGCTCGTGCGGTGCTGCTGGCTGCAGCTCCAAGCAGAGGGATGGGATGGTGGGCTTTAAGGGGACTTGGTGTTTTAGCAGCTATTCCTGACTCCTGAAATAAACTAATCTCCAATGCAGATGGACCTTTGTGGTCTTGTGTTGCTGAGAGAATGGAGGACAGTCTTAATATAAAGGTAAATGCATAAAGCAGATCACAGAGCAGCAAAACACTGCTAAGTGCTGTCTTTGAGGCATGCTCTTGGCTTTCAGCTCTGCTTTAAAGGAGAACAGCTCTAAACTGTGCTGCAACTTTTAAGGCAAAATAAAAATACATCAATGAATACCTTGAATTGGAATTAATTGAAATAAACTAGTTACTAAAAGCAAATTATTGGCTTTGTGTGTGTGTACATAAAGATGCAGGCATACATATGTACATTATATATGCATATATTGAGGCACTGGATTTTGGTCAACTGGTTTTGTATGTTCATTCCTTTCCAAGAGGAAATGTGCCTTAAGGAAACACGGCCAACTTTATACAGCCTCCATATATCAAAACTGGCACCAAATCAGTCAGTTCCGGCCTGTTCTGGCCCTCCTGTGCAGCTGCAGGTCGCGACTTGCCGGCACCGCTTGGCTGTTTAAGGAGCTACTGACCCCCAGCAGGCAGTGCTGTCCCCCTACCAAAAGCTGCAGATCTATAAATGGGGCAGGCCCAAAGATGTGTCTGTATTGCAGGGTCAGCATCTCAGGGTCTGATAGATATTGGTCTCTATTGGCCTGTCTGATAGAGTTTTTGGTGTATAGACCCGGCTCGAAGTGCAGCGGCTGCGGTAGGAGCAGCACCTCCGCTCTGCTGGACCTGCTCTGGACATACCCTGTGGTTTAACGCTGCCCTAAATTCAGCTTTAACAGCTCCTGCTCAGAGATTCTTTGCAGTGCAGCGAAACCCAGGCCTGCTGTTAACTCCATCTCCTGGCTCCGATTTGTCCAACACGAGTTAGCTTGGAAAAGGTGGGTTTCGTGCGGGGGCAGCTATACCCACCCTGATGCCGTGGGCGGAAGGGCAGCGTAGATCGGGGCGAGCCCGTGCAGCAGCAGCGTGTGGCGTGAGCAGCGCTGGCTCAGCCCCGCTCCTGCTGCTCCTTTCGCTCCCGCACTGTGCCCTGCCAGCCCCAGCGAGCGCTGGCCGGCAGCCGAAAGCGTCCCCGACATTACCTGGTGTGCACGGGTTTCCGTGGCCTCCCACCCCTGCCCCCGTGGCGAGAGGACGGGCAGGCGCCCTGCCGTTCGCTGGGAAGGAAATGCTGAGGAGCCTGCTTGTTTCGGCGAAAGAATTGTGGAAAATGCCCGTGCTTTCCCTGGAAGGGCTTTGGGAATGGCATAAAGCAGCGCTTTGGTGCGCGGCGGCTGGCCCGAGTCCGCCCCGTGTGTGGGGCAGGAGCCCTGGGTTCCCTGGCACTAGCTGCGTGGGGGCTGCTGACCACTGGCCCCATTTATCTCCGTATCTAATTTCTCCAAGTGATTGTTCCATTCCCAAAATCAGAGGAGCAGTACAAACCTCTGTAAGGCCCGTGGAGACGTGTTGGTGCAGAGCACCTAGGAGGTGTGGAGACCTGTTGGTGAATAGTGCATGAGAGAGGAGCAGCAGTGCATAAAACCTTCAATTCAGGTGCCCATTGCCTGACTTAGCTCTGCAGTAAAGCTATATCCTGTAGAAGATGATGGATATTCATTCCCACAGCATAATCCCCCCAAAGGGGAGGATTTTATGTGTCCAAAAGAAGGAAGTGCAGCAATTTCCAGAGAGGTCTGTTGAGTATTTCTCTTCTGTACAGCCTAGAAAGACTGTGTGTTTGCCTTCCTGGGTATTTTATGGGTAGGATAAATGATGGCTGGGGATGCCTCCTTGGAGCTTTAAATCAGCTTCTCCAGGCAAGCATTATAGATCCCTCTGCACAAGTGGAGATTTTCTAGTTGCTATTTTTATAAAAATATTTACTTTCTGGCATGATTAAACTGATTCCCCCATGCTGCTGCTTCACACCAGTGTGTTGCTAGATACAGTATCTCTCTCAGAGTTTTAAGGCTTGTGACGGCCATTTGTCCTTAAGAAAAGCAAATGCCACATCTTGGAAAGGTTTTAAAGGTTTTTGTGCTATAGCTGCAAGTGAAAACTTATTTTCATGATATGAGGTTATTGGAATTATTGGCACCACATAAAATTGTGGTTCACCACTCATTTCTGTGCAAGAAAGGGTGATTTTGGAAGTTCTCTGTATCACCATTTCTTTCCTTTTCAAATGTAAGACTTTTAAGGGCTCAGTTCAGAAAATAAATTGTGTTGGATTCAATTATTCTGATAATGAGCCTCAGATTATTAAACGATTGTTTTTGGTTCAATAGTTTTGGGGTTTTTTTTTAATTTTTTGAGAGGCAAAAAAATCTTTGACAGGCTTTCAGGCTTTAAGTTAGATAACAAAACAATATAAATGTTAATAGCAACAGAAATAATCCCTGGGAGCATCTGCTGTGAAAGAGCTCAAAGGTAAAGACTGCACTTAATTTTTGTACTTAATTACATGATTTAGTTGTGTTTTCTCTGGCTGCTGGTGAGAGTTTTGTGTGTGTGACGTGGCTTGATGGATCCTATGCTCCTGCTGCACCGAGTTCTTGGAATCGCCATTAGGAGTGCAGCGGAAGCTTCATAAAGCCCCTTTGCTCACCTGAGTGGCGGCCCTTTTTCTGCTCTCGGCAGCAGGAGAGCGTCTGGTTTGTTTGTGTTTGTAAGTCAGGCTTGATTGCAGTGGCGCGCGCAGCCCGCGGGACACGCACACAAGCCGCGTGCAAGGGCCCTGCTTGGAGCTGCGCCCCAAATCCCTCACCCTCTTCGGGTCGATCCTGTCCCCCCGAGCTCTGCCCCTCTGCACGGCAGCCTGAGGACACCCACAACGAAGGGGAGGCCCTTTCCTTTGCTCTTGAGCAGACCAGGCTCTCCAAAGCCGGGCTCGGGGCTCCAGCCGTTCCCCGCGCCGCCCTTGCTGGAGCGGATCCCACACCTATCGGTAGCGCTTCCACCTTCCTCTGGGAGCGGATCCTTGTTTGAAGTCCCATTTCCTTAAGGGCCTGTGGTTTCCTGGCGGAGAGCGGGGTGTTTTCCCGGGAAGGGCGGGTTGCTTAGGTGGCTCGCAAGGAGGCAGAGGCTGTGCCGAGTGCTGGGTGCCCTGTGCCCTATGCGCACAGGGGAAATATGCTCGGGTGGACCTGATAAGACAGCAAAAATGCCTCTCAAATTGAACGCAGATATGTTACAAAAGGTCAAAAATGCAAAATATTCTCAGTACCTCATAGTTAAGGTAGAAACACAAAAAATGTAGACTTGTATCCCTGAAAACAACCCGTTCTTTCCCCAACTTTGCCAGCTGGTCCAATAAAAAATGTTGTGGAAACTACAGGGTTTTTTCTTTTAATAGAAATCCAACGTGTCTGGACCTTGTAGCCTGGGAGCTGAGGAGCAGGTAGTCGAACATGGATGCAATGGAAGATGGAAATCGGAGTAACTCTCTGAGGGCCTCGGAGCCCCTCTGGGCTGGGAGCGCGGCCGGCGTGGGGACGCGCTGCCGGTGCCTGCGGAGCCTCCCTCCCGCCCGCAGCAGCACCAGGAATTCCCGTCCGAGCAGTGTTTTCTTTGCATTTCGCTTTTCCTTTGAATAAAGCATGTGTTGTAACGGCACGACGCTTCGGCGCTCGCTCCAGCCTCTGTTTCAGGGAAGCAGAAGGAACTGCGCCCATGGAGAGGGCTCCAAGGCCTCTGTTGTGGGGCCAAATAAATCTGAGAGGTGCTCCAACCACGTATGGGGCAGTGCCCCCCCGACCGTAGCTGCTGGTCTCTGGGCC